CTCATTAATCGAATGATGGTCCAGCTTCACTCAATTTATCTAGATTGAGATCTGGAAATGCCCAAATTTGGCTTCCACTATTTGTCCTTGCGCGTAGCAGGAGGCCTACGGTATCTGGTCCCGTTCTGTATGCCGTGTCCGTGCCCAGTGCATTTGTGAGTTATTCGGGAAGGACAACAAAGTAGAACGATTCGAGGCAAATGTGAGACATTAGCAAAGACGATTAAAAGTCGACGCGGGTCGCTAGATGCTATCGAAAGGTCCTAATATTTACCGTGACTGACGGAACCAAACAAGCGACTAAACTAACAGACTACCTCTGGCATCTGGACAACTCAACACTGTGGGGTTCAATCATCCGTCTCTTTCTAGTGAACTGCATGAGCTTCCGGGACAGTCTATTATAGGGTAAAATAAGTGCCCTCTATTTCTGCTAGGCAAAAAATCTATTCTCTTGTTTTCTGGCGCTAAATAGGGAGACGAACGTATGTGTTGTTGTTGTTGTTGTTGACGGCACTACCGTTGAATAACTGTCCTTGTGCGTATGGGGGTGCTGTCAATACAAATTATCACTGCGTTTTGAAAATAGAGAAAACAATCTCGCCAAACAATTATTGCTTTGACAGACACAGGGAGCGGGATTGAAGGAATAGTTGCATGGAGCCTGCACGAGGCAGGCCACACTGGCAGAACAAAAGTCGAAATAAAAGTGAGACCGGATTGTTGAGAACGTGCCACGGTTGTTACTCCGGCTAAATGACCTGGGTAGGCACACGGAAGTGGTCTCTGTAGCGAGGCATGCTTGACATTCTCTCCGGGAAAGGCACATGCGAAAAGTTTGCTCAATTTCTTACTGAAATTGACGCAGCCTCAAAAATAATGAATTAGAAGGAATTGTCAACACTAAGTACTTTACGGATATATTAGTTTATTCGAAGAGGTTGCCATTCGTGTTTCCTTAGCAGAAGGCTTGAGATAGAGAAAATACACTTTTAGCCCTTGTGTAGGGAGTCGGTAAAAGATGAATATTATTTAATGATTGATGATAACAACATTGGGATGGGATACACTAGAGACAAGGAAGGGACTGTTATATAGTTAGTGAAGTACCGGTTAAATTTTTTCCCTGGAAATGTTGGGATTCGCCTAAAGGTAATTGCAGCGAAAGTGACCCATAGAAAATATCTTTAGTCAACAATGACCAAAAAGTGCAGGCCAACACAAACCGTGAAGTATCGTGTTAGCACAGAAAGCACTATTTTTCACTGTATTTTTAATGTATCATCGACGAAGTGCAGTTTTTTTACTAAAAGGTCTCGCACTAATAGTTCGAATAGTTTTTATTACCATTCCACCAGAAGAGAGCTCTTGATAGATTGACGTCCATACTTACATTTTATCCTAAAAACTAGATGCTTTCGTTAACAGGTAGACCAGCCGAGGACAAAATAGGTAATGGTCTGTTAAAGCAGTGTTAGGGCAAGACAAAAAGCAAAATAGAACTCCTTCTCGAACAACAAATATTTAGCTAGGAGGGATATAAGATGCGTGGGAAAGATCGTATTTCGGCTAACATGTGTTCCTAATTTGATCTTCGATTTTGTCACTCAATTAGTAACAATGGTTTCCAAGCTTGTCTTACTTTTCACAGTCCTGACGCCAGCTTACATTTTGCTACTTAAAAATTATTTTTATTATATTTATACTAAATGCATTGCATAACTTTTATGGGGATGATCGCCAACACTATGCAATTTCGTAAAGGGATATTTTCTCATCAGACATCTATCTATCTTACAGTTTGGATTGCGTCTATGGTCAAAGACGTGCGCCGAAAATCGTCGAGCTATCGTACTTTTTAAGTGCTAACCGAACATCAATATATGGTGCTTAAAACACCGATGGTTAGGAAGAGAAAACCCAAGCTCCCAAAGTTATACGTATTTCTTAATGAACGAACGGTGCCAATTGGTTTTGTCTACGAAATGCTTTCAACCTATTCCAATAACATCGATGTCGTTGACAGGTCATCCGGAAAGTTGCTGGCCTCGAAGCTTAAACGAAAGTATGCTATCTTTAACTGTGCATTCAATAATTGTTAAAGACTCATCTATACAACCCATTGAGTCAGCGGAAAGAGTTGTCGTCATAGATATATATATATATATATGACATTTTTTTTTCTAAAGTGCTATTGACAGTAGTAGTTACCCATTTGACTGGCTTTGTTAATATTCTGCTATAATAAGTCAAACATATTTTTACTGTGACGATTGTAATTTACCGCCACTTTTTATCATTCTCGGTAGCAGTTAATGGATCTCGTCGTCGAAAAATACCATACTTGTTTTTTTATATCGCGCTCCACGTATGTATTCCAGCACGTTCCCACGAAATACATTTTAGGTGTAAGAATTAGGATGGAACAGGCTGTAAATAGTCTACGTACGACCATAGCTGACCGCCTTTTTTTTGCACATCGCTTCCTACATTAACACCTCGTTCCACACCGTCTGATTGCACATATCCAAGATCCTGTCTTGTAGCAGCGAGCGATTCTGCCAAGAACTTTTTAATTAGACATTGTGCTCCGCGTGGAAGCAGAATTCAGACTAATCTCAAATTAAGACAGTTTGACAGTTGGATTGACGCAGGCCAGTACCGGCTTAGTATTGTAGTTGGCCTAGTACGCCACGTATTTGAACTTAAGACGACGTTCAACTTATCTTCACCACTCTCGCTTTGACGATGCATCTGAATGTATCTAGTCCACTGGCTTTCGGATCTAGATTAGTTAAATGAAATCGGAAAGGGGACAACTGACCGAGATTTAGTACTTGGTTTCCGTATAGCCCCCCGGTTGAGGTTTGCTTTTGACAAGAAGTTAGATGAGAGTGCGCTACGAGCTGTTCAGCGACGTACTAAGTTCTTATACGAGTGTCGAGGCGGAACTTCGATGCCAAGTGGATCGTTAGTTAGCTATACATTACTTATTATTATGTCACCCACTGTCAATTATAAGACAACTGATTTTAACAGTAAAAAGAAGTATAATCAAAAGAAATTTTAAAGCTAGATATTGGACGTGTAACAGCAGGTGGCAGCATATGGATAGCGTAATGCACTAAATACGATCCTTAGATTCCAATTTACTTTCACCAAATTTAGAAATCGAACAGAGAGAAATCGCGTAAGATAAACATCTTGTAGAAGACTGCATTCAACAGCGTAGCTTGGAGAAATTTACTTAATAGATTTTTTCCTCTATTTAGGCAATATCTATCAACAAACATGACACTAGCATATCGACTTACGAGTCCCGCTAAACTAATTATGTGCCATTAGGAATAAACGTTTTACTTCTCCGCTATGACGCCTACCTAGCGTAAAAAGTGTATCAAGACATAGGGATCATTGTCGATGTCATCCGTTTTTTTTTACTGTCTTTTAATTTTATCTAGTGTATTACTAAGATCTGTAATTTTCGGTCGTGTCCACGAATCGGAACTTACTGTCAGCTGTGATAACATCACTGAATCGTTGTGCTATAGGTGGAATTATTATCCAGGCGTACGAACGTCATTCTTGACTTCTGCTCTGGTTCTAGCGCTCGATGAGGATTAGTAAGGGAAAAATGGGTCGAACACGATGCCTGATAGGGTGTGGTTATTTTATGGTAGAATCGCAAATAATTATACAATTTCATTTCTTTATAGGATTTTCTTGGTTTCAGTCATGCTACATCTTATCAAATAGCGCCAAATTATAGCAATGACTATTTCCACAAGCCTTTGGTGGAGCTGCATGAGCCGTTGCATCTCAAGGATATACAGCATCGGCTGCGGTCTACTTTAGGTTTAGAGAGAACTTGATTGACATATGTCAATGGTTTCAAAAGATGGTTTTTTCCCGATCATACCTGTCACATGTGGTTGTCTTTGAGAAATATTTTTCTCATGATTTTACTAATCAAACGAATTTTCTGCACAAAAATATTGTCTGCATATGTACCTTTTTGCAGATCACGATGATGGAACACAATTCCCCATAGGTAGATACTTAAAAGGATCTTGTATAACTACGACAAGAAGAAGATTATTGCACATCGTCTTTTCAAGCCACTGTCCCAGTCCTTTCGAGATAGGAAAGTATTTTCCCGTTGCCTTCGTTGGATAACTAATTTCTTCACACGAAATCGCTAGTGATACAAGCCTCACCCTTCCCATCATCTCTTAGGGATATAAACCAGCGGCAGAGGCGTCTTCAGTTGACATTTTCTTGAGTAAGAGCGAATCGTAGTGAGTCTATTAAGGCTAGACGATACTAAAGTATTTAACAAACGAACTAATGCGATTATTCCCTCTTTTCTGGCATCGGTTGCTTTCACTAGCAGTATTTAACTTGTGTACTCGAACTTTATGTTGTCTGATAGTTTCCAAATCTCTAGACGATAGTCGAGCATTCATTGTCTTCGATAAGGATTAGAAGTCCCACAAAAGCTCTCTTGCAACCCCTGGCCATCAAATCTTGTGTTTGAGGCCAAAACACAAAACCGTACAGATAATGCTCAAGCCCCCTGATCTAACTTAACCTATCGGATCTCTATACGAAATTAGAAATAGATAGTTAGGTAATCCTGACCGCTTCTAGGAAAAAAAATTCTTCTTGCATATAAGCTTCTAAAGCGCATGGAAAACATGCAACTCTAAGTATGCAGTCTATGAAAATTTATTATTACCAGTGAATCATAACTCAGTTCAAAGCCGAGGTTATCCATCATCAGCAGTGGCGTTATTTATTGAGAGACTAATGCGCGCGGAAAAGACAAAACCGTAGTTATTTTCAGTCAGAAGTAACTTAGATTTAAAGCAAACTATACACTTTCATTAACTACAAGAATATGCATTAATCAACTATATGGAATACATGCACAACTGCACATTATGTACGCTAAGATGTTCCATTGTAGAATAAATCGAAATCTCAAGATTCAAACCAACCTCAAGGAGATGCCCCCTTAGTATACACGAGCGAAATTCGCCCGCCTAGGGGCGCTGTCACTTTCCTCCTGTCGTAGTCATCACTTCGGCGATGTCAGGTTGTTAAAATTCAGCTCACTTAATCCACGGTGTCACTTTGTTGTTCCAGCACCCTTTCTTTGTTACGTCCACCCACAAAGATCTAGATTATTATTAAGGCCTGTTTGTTGTTACGCGGCAAAGTCGGGTTCCCGGCTCGTAGTCTGTACGATTCTATTGGCTTTTGCACGATCACGCCTCAGCGCAATATTAAATTAGATGTTCAGTAGAAGGCGTATCGGATTTGAATGATATTCTTTGCTACAACCAGACTCGGGTGTAAATCGAAACGATAAGGATGTCAAAAGCGGTGAAATTTCTTTACGGAAAAGTCTGCGCCTATTTTCTGTGACTGCGACGCACTTACCGGAAACACACATTTATTTACGTATGCGTTTACGATGTGTTCCCGCCTCACGCAAATATGTGGCAAGGCTAAGGGACGCTTGTAGGCAAATTGGCTGTCGCGACACACCTTTGTTAGCGGCTATCGACGGTCGGTTGCTAAATTGTCTGGAGGTTGTAAGGAGGGAATTTTACAGCGAGCTTTCTACAACTGTGAGGAACTAATGCAATCGTAGGTAAACAGCAAAGCAACAGGAGGTCACTTAAAGCCAATCGCTAACGGAAGTTGTACGAAGTAAGGAACAAATAGAAGTGACGATGCAACGTATAGCCTCGTGAGACTTGTCGACACACTTTGTCTATCAAATCGAATTACGCCACCATCCACAGTTTCCCGTTTTCAAGCGTGGCACAAACGTATTGCTTAGCTAGACGCTATTGGTGACCAGAGCGTGCGTTGGTGGCGATAATTCACTGCCACGGTTACCGTTTCATCCCAAAGCTGAACCAATCCGCAAACCCCCCGCACACGTTTTTCATACGAACGCACAGATACACAAATACAAATACGAAATTGCTCCTGTCTACGTATGATACAGGTCCGTGTACAAAATGTTCCCTATATACTACATTTCTTTCTGTGTCGTCTTCTTTTGTCCAGGCTTTCTTTGTTAAAAGATATTCTTCTTCATGGGAAATGTTGGTACGTTGGATCAATACGGAGATATCTCTGCCGTCCTTGTCGTCCCCCTCAAACGAAACTTTATACCGCGGAAAGAGAGAGGTTCGCTATGGTAAAATATTAAGGCAGCGTTTATGGATATCGTTACATTGATCAAACCCCGCGTACCCAAAGACTCATTTACCTTTAAACCGATCGCCTTTTCGTGGCAACAGCTAGTTATATGTCTGTGCAAACTACTCGGCGAGTATTGTGATTTGCTTGCACCCTCTTTTTTCGCTACGTTTTCAAATCCCGATAGCAGGCAAGCGCTGCCCTAACACTTCATCGGTGCTCATCGACCATCCTCTTCCTTCAGCGTTCCAACAATAGTACCTTCGTTGTCATTCTCATCTCCCGGGGGCCACGAAGACGCTGGTGGCGCTCAAACGCGAACTTCAGTTACTTCGTTTGGTATTTCCTTTAACGGGTCCTTCATTTATATTGCCTTAGTCACTAATATCGTTTGGGATAAAGCCAGAAGCTTGTTAAGATGCTAGTCAAATATTGGTCCGAAATGCAGTGGTGGACAATAGACAACAGCGTCAAAAAGTCTCAAGACATTAGCGAACATGCAACGTTCTTTTTTCCCGTAGACGTTGTCGTCCTTCACGACATTGTTTTAGCAAATTGTGCTTTAACTGCCTTCTGCCAACGCGTTTATGTCGCTTTCAAGGATACTGCTAAACACTTATCTTGCTGCTGCTGTTGTTGTTGTTGCTGCACATATGACTGTCTACTTATAGTCTTAGCGGCGACACACATTATGACGTCGGCAAAAGTCGCTAATAGTCAGAGGATAGGCACTATTACTACAACAGTACATACCGCGCCTCAACTGTCAAATAGCTCCTAATGCAGACCGTGCTCAGCTCGATTCGATCTCGTCTCAAAGTAAAGGCACAGCACTATTCCGGTCGGTGCTCTTGTCTTCGTCGACAAACGTGCTTCGATGGATTGCTGCCGTGCCACATGAGCTGACCAGGCGGAAGCCTGCAGCGCACGCCCACGGGAGGCGTGGCGACGCTTTCGGCCCGCACTCCAACGGCGAAGGGCAGTGTGGAGAGAACGATACGGCAAGGGTTTGCAGGAAAGGGTCCTACAAGGTCCCTTCCTTATCCTAAGGTGTTGTTTATCTGCCGGTCGTAGCACAATTGACTTTAAGTGCGCTGGAAGGACATCATTTTGCTCTGCAGGCAGTCGCATTTTAAGGATGGGCCTTTATGTTTAAAGCCTACCAGATAGGATGACACCTCTATATTCCGCTAAACTAATTGATTATATGAAGAACAAGTGTGCCTGTTGTGATTTAGAAGAGGGAAAAAATTGTGCTCATCTTTCTAGATTATACGAGTTTTAGACTGGGAGCCATCACCTACCAATACATTTAGAGAACCCATGAAGCTAAAATTTGCAGAAAAGTAATTCCACATTCTTCAAATAGGCAAAATGGTGAAAAACACCACAAGTTGATTGCATCTAATTTCAGCAAGTTTCAGACCTCGCTTTTTTCCAGACCAAGAAATCAGAATGATCATCTCTGAAGATCTGCTTCTGAAATGGCAGAATTGTGACCAACAACTTTTATGAACGCTCGAGTGTGGTATATATGAGCGTACGACTCTCGCACTGCGCCCGAGTTTGGCTGCTTGCCTCCTTGTATCGTTCAGTTATCTAAAAGAGAAGCGACGAAATGGCAATGAAAAAAAAAATGGAAAAAAAAGAAAAATGTTTATCTAGATTGTTAATGTGCCTGATTCGCAAAAGACAACGAAATATCACATATCGCGAGCCGCATCAGGAGAGCGGAGCTTATGGACTAAGTCTGTGTAGATTCTACAGAGAATTAGCTTTAATCTTCAGCATAATGATGAAGAACCCCAAATAGTAAGTGTATTCCAATAATTTTATCATTATGGCTGACAGTACGCCTATTCCTTTAATGTTGGCGCATTTTTGATCTGTCGCAATCGTGCCTGTGGCTACAATAAACTTCATCCTCAGTACATTACGGGAAAGATATGATAATTTGTCACAACAAATGTATGTTTAATTTGCCCATATAATTCCTTACATGATGTTTGTAAGTGATATTTTAAGCGGTTTTCTCGATCTATCGCCAATGCTTTCGATACGGTTATGTCACTCGCCGTTTAGAGACCTATCTATCTGTTCATATAACGGTTTTACAGAGATTACATCCGTATGCCTAATTCGTTCCTTCTAGCAAGTGAGTGCTCGGATTTTACGTTTAATATTGAAATCTGTCTGTTTTTAGCTAGCTTGTCTCACCTAATATTATCCGACAGCATCCGATCTATTACGAAGTTTTATTCGGGTAGTTTTTGTGTAACTTCGAGTTCCTCCTATCCAAATTAGCCTACTTTCTCGAGCAACCACGACCCCTTTTCCTTTGTCTTAGTAGCTCAGTCCGGGCTAAGCAAACAACAGAAGCTGGTTATTTAAAGAAAGTGAAAAGGCAAATCAAGATCGCTACCCTGTTCGTATCCAGAGGTATTTGCGTAGTGAACAGACAATGTCTGAGCAATCAGACAGAAAAGGCATCGTGTGTACAAACGATCAACACGCAGGGGCGTCAGACTTACACGAGTTCCTGTGTGTTAAACAAGCCTGAGTTGAAAAATAAACACGATCAAAAGTTGAACACCCAGGAAAGGATTGAGTTCAAAAGAACATTAGGACTCGATTTAATTTATGCGATAGCTATAAAATGATTCTCAGAGCACCCAGAGTCATTATAAAAACGGACAGTTTCCTTTTGACCTTGTTAAAAGCAGCAGATTAAAAGATGTCTATGTTCAGTTCTTCCATCAGTTTACGATCTATATGACGTATACCGATAGATTTTATTGAGATACTATAATAGAGAGTATAAGGAAATAGGCACAATGTTACGCTGATTGATATACAAAATGATTAACTTTAAACGCGATTTTCTTCAACTGAGCTACATCGAGTTTAGAAAATCTTCCCATGGAAAAGTACATTGAATTACATTTTTTATTGTTACGGATCGACAGATAGCGATATCTGTCTAAGCACAACGCCACTGTACAATAGCTCGTTCTGCTAACTATTGATGCCTGCAGAACATCGCTATGGGAATACTCAAGTGCCGTACATTGCGTGATCAACATGACAAATATCATCACATTGTTTCAATGAAGCTCATTTAAACACTATATTATACCATAATCGTTTTGGATATCGCCGTTATAACAGATCGCTCTTTAGAAGACTCGAATCTGCTCCAATCATCAATAATAAAACTTTGTCATTCTAGTGGAATAACTTAGAAATGTTCTCGTCAATAGAAGCTGTTATCTCTGTGTAGAATCACTATTTTAGCAGCAGCGAAAGGTTTGACGCCAAAAATTGTGTGAAATTCAAGGACTTCGCCTAGCCAACGTTGTAGGTGCTGCTGCAAACCCGTTAAGCTTACAGAACGGGTTATAATATGCCTAAAATGTAATGCGGGGCCGAGGCTGTCACGAGAGATAGTCAACATGGGAAGTTGGCCTGGCTACATCCATGCGAACACGCAGCTAAAGATAGCGACTGAATGCAATCATACATAAATGGCCGATCAATACATAAGTACTGGGGTGGTCCTTTTTTGATTCATAGCGTTTATATTGAATAATGAGGCGTCAACCTTCGGACGTTCTCATATGTTGACAACGTTACGGTTTTGACCAATCGTACTTTTTCTAGGAGGACATTGTTTTTTCTTTTTTTTCTTTGGCAAAATCGCATAATCTGTGGTAGAGAATTCGTCGTAGATCTGTTTTAAACAGTCCAACTTAATCTGGGCCAGTGTTGTGTTTTGTTTCTACTGATTCATAGTAGATTATGCCTTAGGAGATCATTATATCAACTTTTTTCTTGCCTATGCGTAAAGTGTAAGCGGAAAACTTTTCGATTAAGCAAATGTTATACAAACAAAGTACTGATAGCATATTACTAAGTGAACCATCTGTCAACTAAATACCATTTTAAAAATGATCGATAAAAGGCGTTAGTGCACACGGACACGCATCTACGCCTTACGTCGTGTTTATTCAAGTTTCCTATTTTGTTCAGCATCGTCCTACGTATTGCAGAAGTACAAGGTGGAAACTTTTCGTTTTTAGCAGAAAAAACTGACCCCTTTCTGTGAACGTGTGAGACACATTATCGGTCCTTATAATAATACCTTACAACAAATAGTCTTCCTTATTATAGTATGTATTAACAAATTAACGCTGCACTAGTACCTAGTAACTGCTTTGTATTCGCCAGGGTACACACGTAAAATTTCGATTGATCATGTTCGACCGTCACGCGAACAGTTACACACAACACTTGCTTTGTATATAAAACTTTCACGTAATTCAATACTATCGTTTTGCTCTCTAGGATTTGGAAAAGCCCCGTTACTAAATTTACTCTTAAGAGGGTACCTAAACCCTCTAAATCGGTTAAAAAAAAAGTAAACGGTAAAGCGCAGACAGACAGCACGCGGCGTACCGCCCTGTATTTACGCACCACGCATAAACGATAGCTACATGATAACCTGCCAAATTTCCCTAATTCGATTTATAAACTCCGCTAGTAAATTTTTGCATAGCCGATCAGAATTGCTCAATACTCTTCTACAGCTCAAGGAAATCTTCTCAAATCAAACTGTTGTAATTGGGTCGACCTTTTGCTTTCGTCGAACATAAAAGCTAACGACAGCTTTTTTATTTTGTCCAGCATTATCCTCATACGTTGCAGGCGAGGATGTCCGCAAGGATTTCTCGCGACGTGCACTCAACTTGACGCATCTCACATCGAAGATGCGTCAAAACCTACGTCGCATAACGGATGGTCCCCGTTTAATGTTCTGGGCGCGACGATAGTACCACATTCACTCATCAAGTAAACACACAATCGTCAAACAGGTTTGAAAATTACCAAAAAAAGTCTCCTTTTTATTATGAAAAACATAGCTAAAAAAAAGTCTACGAAAACAACAAAAGCTGTACTGAGTCCGGGTTAACCACAATGATCTTAATAGGGCAGTTTCCTCATTTGCGCATGCAGATATTTGAATGGTGTTTTTGGTCACATATCGATGAGGGAAATTGAGCTACTTATTTATAAGAAAAAATAACTTTCTGATATAAATTACCTTTTAACTTCTACATAATGTGCTCATCGCTTAAGAGTACGATGTCTTTGTTTGTCGAAAAATAGGGTTCGCTTAATTAAAAAAAAAAATTTAAGAATATGTGAATAATGAATTAAAATTAGCGTATTTCCACCCTTCGAAAAAAATGGGTATGCCATTGGCAGAAAAGTTTCTGTCCGCCGACGACTGTGTCATTTTCAAAAAAAGTCGGTTTCATGTCTTACGGAGCCTCGCCCAACTGTCGTGGATAAGGCCGTTGATCAATATGGACAAACACAAAGCCATGACGTGTCACCATAGAAGCCGACGCTCCACATAGATATAATTACCTGGAAGTATGTAATTACCTTCAAGTTTCTGATCTTGCCCACGAACGACTTAAGTATTGCAAGACACGTCATAAAACAGGGTGCGGCTAGCAATGGTCACTGGTGAGGGAATACGCACGCTTTCAGGACTTCCCCAGCGTAGAGTGCTGGCCTTGTTTGAGACAAAGATGCTGGACACAAGATTGCTTTTTACGGCATCGAAATTATCTGGGAATACCCTTGGGAGGCTGTTTAAAATATGTGACTAAATTAAACCATTGCCCTCAAACAAGCCACGTGCCTGCACTATTTTCCGTCGAAGAAACGCTCCTATAAACGACTCACCGCCATTTAGAGCGGGGTGTTTCTGAGAATTTGATTCTGGCACCCCATCAATCGTGCCTAATTGGAGTTCATTGACAGCTACAGTCGAAAAATGGCGGAGATTGACCTTGACGTTTCTCATAGAGAAG